CCAACATCAATGGCCTGTTTGTAGCAGAAGCATTGTGGTGGCATTTTCTCTGACAGTAGTCAAAGTTGAAGTGCCGACAGAACATATACTTGAATGCACACACTATTTATTCTACACAGAAAAAAAAGTTATTATATGATTTCTACACAATTACACCTGGATTTTTAAATTCCCACTTTGAAGAACCATACTGTATACCATACCATATATGTGGTGTGTGAAGCAGGCAAAACTCGTGTTAATACTCGTGTTAAATCTTCTCATTCTCATCCAGACTTAACAGTCACTTAAGAATGATTTGTGAAAAATCAGTAATGCACCTTACTGGGTTTTTTTGTAATGTATGAAAAAGGGTATTTTTTGCCAATTTTTTAAATACTCTGAAAATATCGGGATTGTAAAGTTGGATTTGTATTGATTTTCTTGGAAGATCTTTGGGGTTTCGACAGATATGTATTGACAGCAGCCACCTCTAGTTGAATTGAAAGTACTGAATGTGCGATGCAAATCATTCTATCTTCAACGTATTTTAATTACGCTCATTAAAAAAAAAAAGTGATTAGAAATCTTTTTTCCTTTCAGCCTTTGCTCTTGGGGTACTATGCTTTCTCATGTTCTTTAGTCACCACACAGTCTTGTGGGCTGTAGACAAAAGATAAAAAAGCAAAAGATGGAATATCTAACATTTCAAATATATGCACGGATAAAAAAGTATAACATACTCCTCAAGTCCTTATAGGTTATAAATAAATAGAAAAATGACAGAAATCCGTATCTAGAAAAATAATCAATTTCTCAATATTTGTAATGGAGTTGTCCATCACATTAATTTTTATGTAAATTTACCTAAACTGATGAATAACTGAATTGTTGCCCAATCTTCCCGGTTTTAGCCAGCATTTCCATTTTTATTTCTATTGCTTCAATTTATTTTTATTTGTTTATATAATGGATTTTAAGAGTCCACTCGAGAACCCATAACTAACACAGGGAAAAGAGGGAGCCTGCCTCAAGTCATTTGCAGTCCAACACAAGAAGTGGATGCAAGAGACAGATCAGAATAAGACAGCACTAGTCACCATGATAGACAGTAATCTTGGCACACAGCTGACTATTCATTATCATTTCTTCAGTAGACATCACAGCATAGGAGATTTTTAGGGAGGGATTTGAAGGAGGAAAATTAGGTGAGTGGGAGTGAGAAGCGGCAGCGAGGGAAAGCATGAAGGTGCTGGTTTGAAAAATGTAACAAGTAGAGAGTTATTACTGAATGAAATGTGTGGGGGGAAGACGTTGATTTCTCTATAGGATATTAAAAGATGATAGGGTGGGAATAAGCTGTAAAGAGGCACAAAAGTGAAGTAGATTTTGCTTGCTAAGATGCTGAAGGAGGGGGGGATACATTGAAATCGGGAATATGGCTGAAACAACGATTATAAAGATAACCAGAGCAGCAGTGTTTTGCAATGTTGTTTTGTTATTCTTTGTTGTTTTGTGACGTCCAAAATTAGATTATTACTTTTGGAAGAGCAAGGACCAAAGATGTCTTTGTACTAACAAGCACCCTAAGATACTTCCAGGTGCTCTAAAAATGCATAAATAAATATGAGCAACTGCTTCTCCTGAATACTATTTCCCTCATTCTTCAGGTCTTACTCTTCAAATTACACCATTCAGTTATCTTTCTATTTTCAAAAGAACTTTCTATATGAACTTTATAGTTCTCTCTTGTCAAATTATCTTACCGTTTTTGGAAAGACTGCATATCATCTATATTTAACACCACTTCAGCTTGGTGAGGTGACTATAACATAGCATTAAACTCAGACTAAAAAAATGAGTGTGGCATTTCTAGGTTTTTTCAAGTGTGTTAACTCAGAAGAGCTAATTTAACTGGAAAAAGTGCTTTTTCCAAGATGTCTTGTATTTCAGTAGACCTTCTTGCAGGTATTTAACAGAATGGCAGTTAGATGCAAAAGGCCTGTGGATTAGTATTTGTGGTCACCATAGAAGTGAGTCTCACAGAAATGTGAATAAAGAGGTCATCTGAAGAACAGATATGGAAGGTTTCTCTACGGGCACTTAATTCTTAGAAATTTACAGATGAAAAATGCTATATGAGTATTAATAGATAGGAATGAAATATGGATGAGGGGACACTAAAGCTGGAATAGCAAGTAGAACAAAGGGAATAAGGGGACATGGGGACATGATGAGAAACCAGACTAGAGCTGCAGCATTGGACAGAACTAACTCTAAGACCTAAAAAAAAAAAAAAAAAAAGAAAAAAAGTTTAGATAAAGGAATGAAGAGGTAATATGAGAAGTTATTTGAAAGAGGGCTGGGTTGGGATATGGCTATCAGGGAACCTAGAAGAAAGGGGTTGTAGCAGGAGAAAGGATGACCAGAAGCAAAAAAGTGTCATAGCTACTAATATGGTCACCTTTTCATAGAGAAAGAGAAAGCCAGACTTGAAAACAGACTAGACAAGTATAGAGGGAGAGAAATAATCACTTTAGGTTTTTGTGACAGACAGACAGACAGACAGGTAGGAGGTACTGTAATGCACACACATGGAGAGGTTCCAGGAGAGAATATTGTTGTCTATGTTAATCCTGAACTGGTGCTGATGAGGTTTCTCAATGGATGTGCAAGAATATTGAATATAAACAGTCAGCCATGAGATCTGAACGGACAGAAGGAAAGTATCAGATTACATGTGGCATATTCTGAAGAGGGATGTCCCAGGATCATTTGCCCAACATCAGTCAAGGAAGAGCACAGGTCCTGAGTGATCTGCTATCCTGAAAAAAGAGTATAAGGGAGAGGATGTGGGGCATGTGTATGTACTTAGTTCACTGTCAGAATCAAGACAAATCAGCCTTTGTAGTATACTGGTGACCACCTACAGTTTATGAAGACTGCAGAGGGAAAAGTCTAGAAAATAATTTCCAGAGTTTGGGTCTAGATAGCCCTTGCTAAGCAAAGAACTGTATCAACACTCCAATATTCTGTGCAAGGGTGTATCTTCTCACCCTGTCACAAAGCCCCCTTGGTACACCACTTTAGACAGGTATTTCATCAAGTTGCTGGCACAGGAATGTGGCTAAAGTAATATGAAATTAGCTTATATAATACTAAAGATACTGAGAATGAAGAGAAGTAGATGAAGGAAGGAGGCCTAAGCGCCATGGAAAAAGAAAGGAAACAGCAAAGGAAGAGAAACCACAAAAATAAATGTTGCAAAGTAACCAGAGAACTATGAACTGAAAGAAGAATGTACAAGGCTGCAAAAGCCAGGGAGAAAGGAAGTAACTGAACCTACAGAAAAATCTAAGTGTGTAGAACCTGCAGGTATTATCCACATGAGTCTTATTAAGAGGAGTTGAACTGGAGCAGGAGGCACATACCAGATAGGAAGGAAGACAAAGAGGTAAATTGATGTTTAAAGATCAGAACTTTAGGTGGAGAAAGATACAGTTTTACATCTCTTGATTTTTAATCTTAGGGGTGTTTCACTGACTAGTCATTGGTCATTAGGAAGTGGTTACATTATTAGCTATAAGGAAGCAAACACATAAGTGTGTACATAGCCATAAACACAGTCCCACCCATTTCCATTGCTTAGCTCTATATGCATACTCCCTGTTTCCCAGTTCAAACAGCCACCCAGTTTGGTGTGCATTCACCTCCGCGTCTGCCTGTGTATGCAAATATACATGATTCTATCCCTTGATGCTTGTGCTGGTAACACTGTGCTTGTCCTGTGCCTAGCCTTGCTTCTGAGAGCCTGGAGTTCGTCTGCGTTGGGGATGTACAATGAAGCCTCCGTCTCAGTCTTGCAGTAGTGAGAGATGCATGGTCAGACCCAACCTGTGGGGTCTCTTGGGAAACACATAATTAGCCCCTTTGCACCAAAGACTTCACTGCTGTATTTGCCACATGGTGAGTGTCACCCAGTGGGCCTGCAAACACATGCACACAGAACCCCTCCCATCCCTGGGAAGCATCACTGTATTTGCCATATGGTCAGGCTCACCTGCTAGGTCTGGGAGAAGGAGACAGACGGGCCACACACAAATAATGAAGCTCCCCACTGGGCTGCCTTAAAAAAAAAGTTGACATAACTGCCTCATGATCAGACTCACATGCTGAGTTTTGGGGCAGGGTGAGGTAGTGACACACACATGAATTTGCCATCTCTGCCCGAAGGGTGCCTCCTCATAACGCCTCAGTGCATCAGGCTGGAAACCTGGGCAGGAGGGATGCCCTCCCTTCCCCACCGGGGTGACACAGACCCCTAACCCCAACAGGCCTTCAGGCCCCTCTTCCCCCCACTCCCCTCCGGGTTGCAAGGTTGTAATTGCCCCTGATCTGCGTGGAGGGGTACATGCACCTCCATAACGAGCCTCTTCTCCTTGGAGACCTGAGGCTGCCCCAGGGCCAGACCCGACTCCCCGCAGGCGGGGAGCGAGGCCCGGCTAGGGGCTCAGGTACCCGGCTACTACCCCCTCCTCCGGGGCGCCGTTACTGTAATTGCCGAGGTAGAGACAGTCACCAGGGAGGAGATAACAAGCCTTCCCCTCCCTCGGCAAGCAGCGCTGGTAAACACCAGCCCCGGCTCCCCTCACGCACGGCCGTTCCCGCCCCTCACGCCGCGCCGGCTCCCCTCACGCACGGCCGCCCCGCCCGCCAGCACCGGGGCCGCTGCCGGCCTGGGAGACAACGGGAGAGGACACGCTGCGCCCCCGCACCGCCTCGTCCCGTCCCTCCCGGGCCCGGCCGGGCTCCTCGGGAAAGGTTGTCCCCGAGCGCCGTCCGGCAGCGCAGCGGTCCCGCCGCCTCCCCGGCCCGCACGGCCATGGCGGCCGGCCGGCGGGGAGCGGGGGGGGCGCGGGACTCCCTTGGCAGTGACGTGTGTTGCCATGGCGACGCCCAGGCAGCGTCTCGCTCCGTGTGTGTGTATGGGGGGGGGTGTGTGTGTGTGTGTGTGTGGGGGATGACAACAAATATGGCGGAGAGGAGCAGGACGGCAGAGACGGGTCAGTGCCGGCCGCAGTTGCCTGGGCGGGGGGAGAGGGGAGGAGCCCCCCTTCTCCAAGGGGCTTCTGGCAGTAGAGGGGGCCTGCCTCGCAGCGGAGCGCAGGAGACGGAGCCCTTCTCTCAGGGGAAGGGGAGGGAAGCGCCTTCTGGCCGAGGGCACTGAGGTGGAGAAAGGGGCCGGGGCAGAGGCCCCTTCCTAGGGAGCTGTGGAGGAGGGCAAGGCCCCTTCCCCGGGGCGATGAGGAGCATCTTCCCGGGGGAGAGGTGGTCGAGGGGAATGCCCCTTCAGGTAGGGAGAGGGGGAAGAGCCCCCAGGCACTGCAGCCCTGTCTGAGGGGGGATTGCCCCGTCGTGGGGAGGAAGGTGAGAGGGTGAGAGCCCCGCTCACCCAGCAAACAGAATGGGGGGGCGGGGGGGTGGAGGCGGAGAGCCCTGGCTGTGCAGAGGAAGAAGCTGATGGTGGGGCAGCCTGCACTGTGCACCGACCTCCCCGCACAGGGGCAAAGGTGGCAGCGGTGAGGAGCGGAGCAAACCGGTGGTGCACAGGAGGTCCTTTCACACAAGAAACCACGACCTGCTTTATTGAGAATGAAAATATGGGAAGACACGGGATTGGAATTGAAACCGCACCACAAAGCTGATAGCTTGAGGGTTGACCTGCAGGTGCTGCTTGACCTCTCCGGGGAGATGTAAAGTACCCAGAGGCTGCAGGGGGGCAGCATGCCGTACACCTTACGTCTCACATACATTATTCTGTGAGGGTCTCTTTAAGGAAGGTGCCAAATGTCATTCTTCCTATTCAGGATGTATTAACAATGGCTCTAACCATGTATGTGAAGATAAGTTTGTCAGTGAAACTAAAGTTTTGTGTTTCCTCATGAATGATAAGGATCCTTTAGGTACAGGGGTCTTTCCTAATGTAAGAAACGAGGTTTAAGGTCTTTTCCAACCCACCTGAAAATAAAAAGCCCCCACAATAAGTTAGGAGAATTAGAGATACTAACATTTTGAGGATGAAACAATTTTTCTGAATATTTAATAACCCACAGCATCATGCATAAATGATCTGGGTTCCTGGACCAAAATTTCATTTTCCTGATGTGTTAGCTGTTGTGCATGTGCTTTCCAGCCTCAAAAGTGGCTTCAAATGAAGATGCGTTATCCATAGAACTGATTTTGGATTTTTGGTTCACTTAAGGTGAAAAAAAGTGATAAATATGGGAAACGCTGTTGTGCTCTGGGAAAAAATACTACAAAGGCTACATCTAAATGGATTTGCCATAAGGTTCTTGAATTCGCTGTGTGCATCCATGCTGTTTATGAACCCCTGAAACCACACTGTAAAGTTGATTATACATTAAACTTATCCATGAGTCAGGTGATTATTTTCATCCGTTGTGTTGTGCAACACTACTCAACTCAGCTGATCAGCTCTGACTGCACTGTGGAACAGGAAACAAATCTCCAGTGGCTGACTTTGTCAGCTTTCCTACTTCATCTACCTATGTCTGTGCCTTTGTCAGTAGCTTTCTTTAACATATAATGTAACTTTCCTACTATTTCCAGATTAGTGTGTAAATTTACATTGTGTTCTCAGCTATATTATTTAAATCTGCAGCCTTACAGTATTTGCTTTTTATTTTTAATCCTGTCCAGAACTTTTCCCACATCTAACCATTGCAGCTAACTTATCAGTGATTTTCTCATAAATGTTGTGTTTCAGCTTGTGCTGAAATCATGTTTTGTTACATGTTCCTGGTACATGTCCGTTTAAGTTTTGCAATGCCTGTCTGGCCATTTTGCAAGTCTTAATTTGTGGGTCCTTCTTTTTTCAAGAAACCAGATGAGGAATTAAAAATGCAAACAACCACAAAGACAGAAAATAGACTCAAAAGTTTTGGAGATCAGTGGAACTTGGGAAGCAAACTTGTGATCTTGGCCCATTTTTAAGAAAGGACATGGAAAGTAGGCTGTGGAAAAAAAATATAGGTGAAGTGTTTTTTTTTTTTTTTTTTTCTCTTCCTTTTTCTCCCTAAACTTTGGTTTCTGACTGTCACCTGACACTAAGGGGACAGACAGGTTCTTCTAGGGACTCCTGGCAGATCCCCAAAAGACCCTGTTTGTCCCCTTATTACTGGGTGACGCTGACACTGTTGATGTGCATATGATGTAACTGGGGAACAATCTTGTTCTTGGTGCATCCTGACTGCTTATAATGTCTTCATGTTATGTCAGATCTGGACCAGTCTTTATGAGGTACAGGAATTTAGACCTGGAACCTACATTTTGCACAAATTAAAATATTTATGTGTGGATGTAAGGAGAATAAAGCCATTACAGGAGGACTGAACATTGTTCAAACTATATAAATTGATTTAGCCAGTATGACTATATTATACTTGCTGTTTTGTTTTTATAGCAACATCATGTTTTTATTCCTGGATCAGAAGACACAAGACACTAAGTCTTATCATGCCGTGTTGAAATATTGATCGTTATTTGTAATTTTAAAATGAGAAAACCGAGTTACAGAGAAATTAAAGGTATTTTATCCATGCTTTATAGCAACACAGGTTACTGTTATGGATCATTATTTACTTGTTGAATTCAGTAACCTGTGTTTGACAAGAGTCAGTGTCAGGAAAAGATGCTTACAAAAAATTATGCATTTATGGAAAGATTATTCTAAAAATTAAGAGTCTTCCTAAATATTATCTGATACTGAGTTATATACATCTGAGATGCTTACAAATCCTCTAAATTCTTAGCTTTGAAAATATATGTCAAGAGGTTTTATTTATTAATTGTACTTTATGGAAAGCATATCTTTTTATAATGTAAGAATTTTTCATTTCCGTTTTATTAGTATCTCCTTATTCTTCTGTTACAGGAAAGTAAATCTTAATCTTTCTTACAGTGGTAATTATTGTTTCCATATATACATATCTTTTTATATTTCTATTCCTTTTTCATGTAGAAGATTTTTTGTTTCTGTAGTAGTTTTTTCAAATTTTTAAACTTTTTTATATTGGGAAGGAGGATTAGGACACACAGAATTGCACAGAGTTCTTTAGAAGAGGAACTACCATCAGCTTTTGTTATACTGTTATGCTCAGCATTATTTTCTGTATCATGGTTTAAGACAATCTGTGAGTTTCAAATGAGATTGAGATTTAATATGGAAGGTAGATTATCTCACATCTGTCTCCTGTGGAGTTCATATTCTGGTGCTATCCCCTCTGGACTAGGCAGACATCTGGTCTAATCCATTAAAATAGTTTTTGTGTTCTGATGTTTGGTTAGAGTGCTGCAAATCAACTTGCTTTACCCTGGATTAATCAATCATTTCCCCATTGCAATTGGCTCCTTAGTCCTAGCTGGTTTCTTGGAACTGCTCAAATCAGATTTCTGCAATAAACTATATGTTTGTATGCTTCCCTGTTTGGGTTTCCAGGCTGAAGCTTTCATGACTCAAGCTGAGAATCCAAATTAAAAGCAACTTAAATCTTCACAAATTAAGGCTGCAGGAGAATGAAAGTGATTAAGACTAGTTAGTTACTTTCAGAAGCTTCTTAGTTTGACTTCCAGTTGTTCTGCTCAGCTGACCGTGATGTTTCTAGACCTTTGGAAGATACAGGATATAGCGAGACAGCTGGTTTAACTAAAGTTTCTTCAAAACCAGATCAATGTTATTTTTCCAATTCTGTGGCAAAGAGAACCTTATTAGCCTCTCTAAGGAAGATTTAGGGGTAGGTCAAAGTGAATACAGAATGCCTGTACTTGCTAATTTTTTGACCCATGAACCAGATGAAAGTATTTAACTTTTCAGACATGGATTCAGCTAAAATTCCATTGGTTATCTCATTCTCCCCAGGTTACTCTTATTCTTCTGGGCATCTATATTACCTTCATAAGACTTGCTTCCAGATGTCTGAATGATCAAAGGGTGCAGGTTATCTCTGAGTTCTGTGATAGTTTTCTATCTGAGGCAGCTGCATATTAGCCTGGATTGACAGTTCCAATATGTGTTATTCCACAGTTGCTAGTCATTTTGTGGATATTAGTATTTCTGATATTTCATTGAGTCATTGTCACTGAAATCATAGTGAAAGCAAAAAAAAAGCATTTACTCACAGTACTGGACAGAATATAAATATACGTCTTTAGACCAAAGATCCTTTTTATTGAAACAAACAATTTTCTCAGATGAATGTGTAGTTTTTCATGTTTATTTACATGTCATGATAGATACCCTGCAGAGTGATGTTAAGTCATATATTATAATAAAAATGGTTAGAATTTTTGAAAGCATTCACAGCTGGGCTGACCTAGATTCAAGGAGGAGAGCTTCAAATCACTGCTGAATGCTGAACCCCCACTCAAAGTTTAGGTAGTAATTAACTTTTCTAAAATACTTAGTGTTGAGGTCATTATTTCAGAGATCTGCATGTGGAGGGCCCAGTAGAATAGCTGTGTAAATTCTGCAGTGTTTTCTAACTGATTTTAATATGATAGTGCTGAGCTGAACTATTTTGAAAGAGAGCTTTTGATTGTTCTTTCAAAAAAGGATAATTATTATTTTTAAAATATTTAATCACATATGATATGAACACATTCTAGTATCAGGAACGTACTGCTTTCTTTTAGGTGGCCTTAATTATTAAATAAAATGCTGTACTAAATAAGACAACCTAATTTGTCTTTAAATATAGGCCTTTTTGATAACTGGAACTTCTAATTCGCTGGCTTTATCATGAGAAAATTTAAAATAGGAGAAATCAGCTAATTACTTCAACAATATTATTTAATCTCAGTCTTTAAAATAACACTGTACATCAGTGGTACTTCTGGTATTCCAGGCAAATTCGATTTCTTCAATTAAATAGTCATTTCTTAAATTATTTCTGAATTTTCACATGTATATAGATTATATAGATATATAGTTTAGTTCCTAATATGCACTACTAGCCTGTAAACATATCTGACTTCCAGTGTTTGG